GGTGTATGCTACATAGCTATCTTAATGAGCACTAAGGAGTTGTAATACCATTTATTCGGCCAGCAATGCAAACTTCGAATGTGTGGGGTGAAAGCCGCCCCACAAACATATAGCCAAGACCCAAAAGTATGTGGACCCAAAATCCAGACCGGGGTTGGGGAGAAACCTCTACTTGCATACTACATGAGAACTGCTTGTTCCTTTTCCAAAATCAAGCCGCGGCACCTCAACTCTCATCCCTCACCCCTGCTCCCTAAACTTTGCAACCTTGAACCCTGTGTCCATAAACTGAACATCCTATAAGTTCTGGACCCTCACGATCCTTGTTGCCTAATTACTTAGGGGCCTGAATGACTAGTAATCATATGGAGCTTTAATCGTCAGGAATGCTGCACTTTGGGTAATTACTCAGAACTCCAAGCAGCGGCGGGGGGCGGACACCCTCGACCCTCGCTGCATCGAGGGCATTGGCAACAGTTTCGGCACTGAGCACCAGCACCTGTGGCAAAGCCTAATGGGGCCTTAATAAATAAGATAAGGCTTGGGGGTATGTTCTGCTATAAAAAGGAACCCCCAACATAGTATAGGTAATTTTAAAGCCCCTATATTACCAGTTAGCGCATAAATTTGTAATGGGTTCAGGAGACGGTAGCGACATCCATCTCTAGACATTCAGGCCCTTGCCTCGTGCCAGAACAACGAAGTGTAGGGCGTTTAGGGGTAGGAAGGAATGAATAATTCGAACATCCCCATAAAGTCCCTGCATATACTAGTACTATACCCCCCAAAACCCTGTTCCTTTCTGTTTTCAAAAGAAAACCGTCTATGCGAGTCCTGTGTCTGCCTGAGTACATATAAGCATATGCGCATGCTTGGCCGTGCAGTCGTGGCTGCTTCAAGTTCGGGTCGTTGTCGTTCATGCGCGATGCCGCTTTAGCTCGTGCAATTATGGCGGCTTCCTCGCACGACCGACTCAATCCGATGTGGTTTCCGCATGCTCCCAATGTCGTCCCGCGCCGAAGCGGCGGGAGCGGCCTGCCAAGAATCCGAATTTGAGCAGGCGGGCCTGTGACGCCAGTCGTCCCGCGCCGAAGCGGCGGAAGTGGCCTGCAAAGAATCCGAATATGAGCAGGCGGGGCTGTGACGCCAGTCGTCCTGCGCCGAAGCGGCGAAAGCGGCCTGCAAAGAATCCGATACGAGCAGGCGGGCATGTGACGCCAGCTCCTTTTCAACGTTCCTGCAGAGGAGGCAGTGGCAAAATTATATCCCACAACCCTAAAGGACTTACCCTGTTATTTACCTAAGCTTTCGGAGTCTCAACAGCATCGGTCGGGTTTGGGGCATTAAAGGAAGCCATGCGGGTTTCGGGCTTAAGGCTCAAGGGCTCATAGGCTTGATGATATAAAGCCTGCATTACGAATTTCCGTAGTTTAGGGTCCTTAAGGTAATGCAGGATTTATATCACCAACAGTAGGGTTTGTAGAGTCTAAAGGGTTCAAGCTCGAGATTGGTTTTTGTTGCTGGAAAGGCTGCTTTGGTGCTTCTCAAAGGTATACGAGAGCAGAGACCTTCAGGGTCCAAATGCCTAAATGCCGAATAATCATATACGGCTTAGGGTTTGGGGTTTAGGATACTCTCTTTTACTAGCCCACGTAACTACTATCCCTAGCCCAAGCACCTGATTCTTGGGTCCTTTGGACCCTTAGAGAGAAGGTGTTTGATGCTTCAACGTACTTCACAAATAGGCCAAAGAAATGAAAAATCAAATTTTCCGATTCCTATTCAACTACCCTAAACCCTAAACCCCAAAAAGCCTAACGGCGCTATTGGGGATCCAAGTCCAAGTCTAGATTTTGCCGACAGGGCCGATTCCTGAACCAGAAGCCCGGGACCTTAAACAGGTTTTTTTTTGGCGGAAGTTTAAAGGGTATAGAGTTTACCCTTTGGGACCAAAAAACCTTATAAGTAGGGGCCTGTACCTTTATACTATGAATCCCTATGGTATATGA